TAGAGGTGGTGAAGATAATCAACGAACCGCGACAACAACAACCAGAACCAGTCACCAGCAATGGGAGAGATTTGACAGAGACTACTTCCTTCGCTTATCTAAGAAGCCCACAGATGGAAACCACAGATGAAGATGTCAAAGGCAGCCAGAATCGGAAAGGCAAGATACACATTCATCAATCTGAAGTAGTCGGTTTTGAAATCTTCTGAACTTATCATGAAGAAAAAACTCGGATTTTCAACACAAATTTGGCTCAGAAACTTGACCAGCGCGTCACGAAAACCATTTCCAACAGTCTGCTGCAGACTTTTATCAACAACTGTCCTCTTCACTGGCTCCATATTGAAGATCGAATAGCCAACTGGCCACAAAGAATTAGCAACAAGAAACCCTGGCGTCGAACAAATCAACCAAGAACCTATTCGTTCAACAGATATGTGAAAGAAAATGGAGATGGATCGGAGACACAATGAAGAGACCGTTGAATGATATCGCACTCAGTGCAGACCATCCGTCAAGTGGAGCTTGAGGGGGAAACAATGAGTGAGGCGTTGGTCTGAGGGTGACATGGAGGAGGTCATCTGAGTTAGAGGAGGAGGAGGAGGAGATGAGAGACTATGAGCGATTTTGGAGCCAACTAAAGAGGACCCCAGAAAATATAGCAAAGCGGAACTCAAGGGAATAATAACACAGATGACACTACCCAATTTCCCTAGACTCAAGTAGGTGGAACAAGATTCGAATCCTACCCTCTGAAAGTCTATTACTGAAGGCAATGATCCCATTCTGTTGAGTTACGACGGGTGAGAAATAGACTTTCAGTAGCGGTGTTATTTTCTTCAACGAAGTTGTGATGTTAGCCTCATATTAGCCCAACCTTCTCTCTTTTTTTGCTGAGTTCTCAAATGGTAAAGCGAAGAATGGGAGTCTATCAGCAACAGGGACCCGAGCAATGCGCCTGGTTAGCCGGCATCATACCACTAGAACCACTGACGCTTAGAAGAATGAATAAGCTCACACAGACACACACAAATACACAACTACTCTTCTCTATGATTCACAAAGTAAGGTAGAAAAGAGACCGCATATTGATATCAGCAGTTAGAAAACCATTGAAAACGAGGGAGTACTGAAAAGTTATTTTCTACTTCATTAGAACTCATTGGCAGTACGCACCCACTGCTAGGGTTCGAACCCATCACCTTCCCGTCAAGCTGGTAGACTGTTCAACCACTGGGACCCTACTCAATAGCCAGTTCATGCATTTTAACTTCTACCAATTTGTGATTTTAGCGCCACGGGCACCAACCAATGTCACTGACCAGTATATGCCCTCACTCCACACATGCTGGTGGACTCCGCTAGTCACAACTACTCACTAGATCTAACTCCAGTCAGGAATCCCGCTGGTCGAATAGCCTACGAGTCTTTACTAGTAACCAGAAGGTCCTGGGTTCAACCCCTCCCCCGCACTACGTTGGGTTCATACTGATGATGAGTCCCAAACTGGGCTGACAAAACAACCGACTGTCCAGTACTCCCTAGTTTGGCTTTCAATGCTTCTCTAACACGCCTCAATCTGTAATCAAATCAAAAAACGCTTGAAAATTTCATTTAAAAAATTGTTGAACACTTTTATGCTATAAAAGAGAGTTGAAAGCTATTCACATTGTAGATTAAGTCGCCTTATTACTCACACACACACGCACACATTTGACCTGAGAAAGCTACTTGATTCATTCACTACTTACTCATGCAATCATTCATGCAATTTATTGATTAGCTATTATTCTACATACTTTGACGCACACATACACACACACGACTAAACTAGAGAGAGATAGAAAGACAAGAGCTTTATAAAGCAAACGAAATGAAACGTTCTCATTATCTTGTATTTTTCTAAATAATTAAAACTTTTTAATGAGTATATATATTTATATATCTTATCTATCGGCTTTCTATAGAAGCAAAAATATAAAAAAGAGATTTTCAAACTATGCGATCACTTATTTGTTTAAATCACATAGATATTGTATGTGGCTAGTGAGCAATATTGATGTCTTTACGGTAACCTACTACTGATGATATCCACTACTTGTAGTAGTAGTATATGCTGTTCATAGTTCATAGGTGGATTTTATTCAAGTGTGGGTTTGCAAGGATTCGACTGGTTTCAGGATTTCATCATGAATTGATAATTGATATCAATGATAATTGATATGATTATGAACAATAAATTTTGTTCGAAACGTCATCCAGTAAATAATACTGTTTCACTGTGTGATATATCAAATAAACAAACTAATATGGAATTACAGTGAATGTGTCATCTACATACCTCCACCATACTTTCGGGGTGGGGCTGAACGTTTCAATCGCTATGTTTTGCCACCTATCCATGAATATATCTGCCAAGACCGGGGATATTGGTGATCCCATGGCAACTCCTTCAGTTTGTTTGTATATTTTCCCTTGGAATTTAAATACTGTGGAAGTCAGGCATAGCTGCACTCCCAGCATTATGTCATCAAGTGGCACTTTCATCTTAAGTTCAACTTCTTGGTCAGAAATGAGTTCGTTTCTGACTGCCTCTATAGCCATATTTATTGGTATACGTGTATATAAACTGACAATGTTTATCTAATATCCTGCATTGAATGTCAGGTCAAATACATAGGTGAAAGTAGTAGAACAGGGGCAGTCAGACTAGCCGAGCATAACAACCTAGCAAAATCTAGATTAGTTGACCTGAATAAGATAAGAAATCTAGAAAATAGTTCAGCTACACCACTCACTACATGCAATTACACACAACCATACAATAGGATGATGGGATAAGATGACAGTTCTAAAATCTAATGTGACAGTAGGGTGAAAGGGGAGATTGATAAGAGAAGCTTTGTTTATCAAATCAACTGCAAACACGTGTAATAGGAATGATTCAACACCTGTCCACCCAGCCATCTGGAAAATTCTACTACCCCAACGATGACAAATAGGAGAGAACAAAGAAAACCATAAAACTCAAGTTTCGAAGTCGTGTGGTTGTAATTGATGAAATGAATATGAACAATAAATTTTGTTCGAAACTGTGTCATCGAGTAAATAATACTGTTTCACTGTGTGATATATCCAACCAATAAACAAACTAATATGGAATTACTTACTACCACAGTTCTCAAGTTTTACACATACATTAACATGAGAAAACAACTCCTGAAGCTGCCCTACTGGTCTGTGGATCAGACCTTAATTTAAAGGCTCGGAGGCAGGAAAAGAGAGAGAGTGGTCTTTTAGGACAATCACTTGATTCAGTCTCGGTTTCCGGATAGTATACCAGGCTTCAAGCTATCTCTGGGGCGGCCATAATGCACCACGTTTGCGCTCTAATAATAATAATAAAGTTGAAAGAATCAGAGATATAACGTAAATGAGTTCATGTTATACGCCACATTTATTGCTCTAGCTCAAGTTTATCTGTCTGTCTGTTTTCAACATAGAACTTTGCACCGATGTGCACCAGTTCAAGTCGCCACACTCCCTCCATGTAACACACAAATCAAGAGAAGAAAGTAGAAGAAATGCATAATAGAGACAGTAGACAGGGATATGAGACAAAAGGAATACTAATGTTGAAGAACAATATAGTTTCACTGGAAATTATAAGTCACAAGGAGTGAATGCATCTGTGCTGTCATTGAGAACGATTTTGAGCCATATCACCAGTTTTCACCAGCCTCTATTGGTTTTTACCGTCCCAAGGACCCCAACCAGGAAGTCTACACCTTCATACGTGGCCGGCTTAAACTAACCGTTGTGGATTTCATTGACTAATGATGAAGCCATGTTTCGGTTTGACCACCACTAGCTCCTTTCCAGCCTAACCCTATGTCAGCTAACATTACCTATCGAGGAAGGCGATGACAAGGCATACGTAACACATGTTCTAACCTGCTCAGACATTGTCGAAGCATATGCACAAGAAGTCGACATTTCACCCTGAGACCAAGCACTTCGGTCCAATCAATCGAAGGGAAAATCTAAAATCTAATTAAACCAATCACTAGCCTATTGCTCAACACATTTGCCAAAGAAAATCGGGGTGAGTCGCACACATTCTGAAGAAACCGTTCTGTGACATAGTGGGCTAGACCAACGCTCAAGTGGAACCCGAATGTGAAATGAGGAGTTGTGCGTTGTTCCGAAGGTGATATGGAGGAGATTGTGGGAGAACAAATTTCTTTACTGATACATAACTTCAATATCTTTTCTTATCCAATTGACATAAATATTTAACCTTCATAGTTTGCATTTTCTATGACCTTTCACAAAAAAAAAATCACTTAGCAGTACAGTTTTGATGAATAGCTTTCAAAAGTATACACCAAACACACAGATTGGTCATCAGGGTGTAAACAACGCCATACCCCTTGTCCTTTCTATTGATGTTAACTTCATTCTCTCAGTCAAGTAGGCAATGTGGTCAATCACCAAGTTGGACAGGCAGTTATGGGATTTAGGTTTTGATGATTGTTGGCACTCGCTAGCAATGAGTGCCTGAGTTTTTGGAAGAACTAACGTCTCCCAAAACATGGTCACCCTATGCTACAGTCAGAGATGTTACCCGCTGAGCTATTCGGATTCATTGACTAACCACCTGTATGATAGTTATGTCTAATATGGTCACAAGGATGTAACGAGTTATGCCCTAAGCTTCGTGAAGACTTCTTCCAACCCATGTGCATCGGTGGCACAGTGGTTAGGACTTTCGCCAACCATGCACATGGTCCGGGGTTCGATCCCCTGCCGACGCACACCTGTATCAATGGTCGGTCTGCAAAATTCGATATCACATGCTGAGAATTCCATACTTGTGCCGAAAATACGGTGTGGAATCAAGCTGTAATAAAAAAATGTAACATCATTATAGAGTATATTTAAAATCCCAATGAATGAAATAACTCACTGAGAAGAGGGAAAAAACACACACAACTTACCTAATCGTCTCTGACATTCACTACTCATATTATTTACAGAATTCATAGGATAAGGCGATGAAGATTTCCCATATGACGGTGACTGTATATGCAGAAGTGTATTAAATGTCTGATGAGAATCATGATTATTATTATTATTATCATCATATTTATGTCCATTTTCAGCGATAGGTATCGCTATTAACGTTTCACGTATACGTTGTTGATATGATGTACGTGAATTCAATAGTGCACTTGTTGATGATCTGATATTATTATTTCGAATAAAATGTGAACGAAATTTTGACATTGACTGTCGAACACTTTGCCATAAACGATTACGTTCAGGACGTTGTTGCTGTTGTTGTTGTTCCATGCTAGAGGATAAATCGGAAGTATTCGATGTTGAAAGAGCAGGAGGAGGAGGAGGAGGAGGCGTGAATGTTTGATCGATTAGCAGTTTAGGATAGATAGAACCCGATGAATCACTGAAACCACAGACTGGGATCTAAAGGATGCAAAAAACAATAAATAATCGTGGTGATGATGAAAATAAGGTCAAATAGAAGAAACAAACACTTGTATAATTTGCATAAAACTGACAATTATTAAAGAGATCAATTCATATTAGTGATTTGCTTTATTGCAAAACAGGAATTAAAACGCAGTGCGGAATTCTCAGCATTCGGTACAATATCGCTTCTCATTTACTCAATAACAGTGCTTTGTATATATATATATATATATATAATAATTATTATTATTATTGTTTCCTTTAGTTACTAGAGGAATATTGCATTATGTTCTCCTCCAACGTTTTCACCTGGCTCCACATCTGCCCAAATGCTTTCATCTCCTCTTCACATCACCTCTTCCATGTCACCATAACACTGACGACCAACTCACCGCTTCCCATTCGGGTTCCACTCGACAGACAGCCTGGCATGTGATGTCACTCACTTGATGGTTTGTTTTCTCAGAGTATGGCCACCAATCCACCTCCATTTCTTCCTGCATATTTCTTGCACAATTGGTTCCTGCTGGGTTGGTTCGTTCATTGACAGAGATCCCGCCCTGTTGCTGATCTTTTCTGGCTAGTCATCTCATCTTGAGTATTATTGAGCGAAGACAGCTGTTGATGAAAGTCTGTAGTTTGTTCTAAGTGGCCTTCGTGACGTGGCACCAAGTCTCTGATCCATATAGTAGCAATGACTTCATCCTAGAGTTGAAAATCCGGATCTTATTTTCATTTTCATGCTGAGTAGTGCTGTTGAGAGTTACGAAAGCTTGCATTGTTTTCCCGATCCTTGATTTGATATTCCTCATCAGTTCCGTCCGCCTGTAGTTGAAACGATGCTTTCCAGGTAGGTAGGTAGGCAGGTAGGTGAAGGAGGTTGCTTCTTTCAGATTTCTCACATTTATACTGGTTGTTGTTGTTGGTGTTGGCCAGGAATCTTTATCACCCACCTCTGTTTTTTCTATGTCCACCTGAAGGCCTATCTTCTCTGGATGCTTCTTCTATTTCCTACTTGTTGCTTTTCACTTGCATATCTTACAGTTTGTGGGAAATCAGACATATATCATCGGCGAAGTCCAGATCCTCCACGTTATTTGTGTGGGTCCATTTTATGCCTGTCTCCTCGTTGTCAGCCCCTGTCTATCTGTCGCATTATCCAGTCTACCGCCCACAATCAGGAAAATCATTGGAGATAGTAAGCAGCCAGCCAGTCTTCCTTGTCTTACTCCCGTCTTCATTCCCTTGTAGGATTCCGTGATTTTCCTGTTGTGGATTACTTGCCATACAGCATTGTCGTACAACTGTTGGATGAGATGTATTATTGTTGGCGACACCCCGTAGTAGCGAAGTAGTTTCCAAATCAGCTCTCGATCGACGACGTAGGAAACTTTTTCAAAGTCGATGAAGTTGAGTGAGGTAAAGAGCTGACTACCATTCCAATCTCTATTCAATGATAATGCATAGTGTTGCGATTTGATCGATGTATAACTTGTTTCTCCTTAATCCAGCCTGTTCCTGTCGAGGTTTTTCATCCAGGTTGGCGTGTTTGATTCTCTCCAAGATGATGAGGCTTAGTATTTTGCTTGGGATGGACAGGAACCATAATGCCGCACCGTTTCTTACATTGACCTAAGTCTCCTTTCTTTGGTAGTAGCCTTTCTGTCAATCCGCAGGTACCTTGCCCTCTTTCCACACCTTCTCCAGTAGTGGTGTTATCAAGTCCGCTGATGTCTCTGGATCCATTTTAAGTACCTCTGCTCGGATATATATATATATATATGTATATTTGAGCATTCTATTTGATGCTAGAGTCGGAATGTTATTCCCACAGTTCAAGACTGTATTAGCAAAAGATACGATATATCTATTGGAACATTCTATTTGATGTCAGAGATAGAAAACTTTTCCTACGGTTCTAAACTGCACTAACAATAAAATACTACGCATATCTGAACATTGTATTTCATATCGTTTGATGTAAACCAAAATCACACGCTCAGTGATTAACTAACGAATATAAATTAATCTTATGCATGCTATTAACTGACCACAGAACAAAGTTGCCTGCAGTTATAGTTCTAGTGTGAAGTCACGACCAGTGTTAATCGACCACCCAGTCGGGAGGAAGGCCAAATACTCGCGCCAGCAATGAGATCGGATAGTGCAAATCTCGTTAAAATCACAAATTGGTAGACTTTAGAATTCATGGACCATTGAGTCAGTCGGGGTCGGGGTCCTAGAGGTGTGAACCCCGGTGAGTGAGTACTACTGAAGAATCCTAGGAATCTAGGACGAAACGACCAGTTGTACACAGTACACCCTGGTTTTCCAATGATTCTTCAAATGATATCGACTGATGATCAAAATTGGGGCAAATCTTAAAAAACCTTACAAAATAACTCATGGAAATACCCCCCCCACACACACACACACACAACAGAGTCATGATCACAAGTGTAATATTAAATCAATAAAGTTAAGGTTATCATTGGCATAATAATCACTTACGTAATCAGTATGTACAGTAAAAGAAGTAATTCGTTAACAAGAGAGCACAGTTCAGCATTGATCACTGATTATCACGTATCAACTAATCATGAATGAACGAGTATCATTCATACAACATTTGTAATCATCTTTCGCCATCATTATCATCATAATTGACCAATCAAACTGCGCACACACCCACACCCACACAAACACACACGCACAATCAACCTTTTCTCTCATTTACACATTTAGTCAATTATGATTTGATTACTTGTCCTTCATCTCTCTCTCTCTCTCACTCTAGTGATTAGCATTCATGCTTTATAGTGGATATGTGAATAAATGCGTATTTGTGTGTGCAAGCGAACCAGAGACCTTGCGTAAAGGTAAGACCTTAGCGATAATTGAATCAATATGGGCTATTGCACACTCATAGCCATAGCCACATACACACACAGGCACACGCACATGACATTTACACACCATCCTGTGCATAGTTAATATTCACAATGGTAAATGGTAAGAAGAAATTAGTGAGTAACATACCCAAATGTGATTATCGAACTAATGAATTGGTCAGTTCTAATCATGAATAGTTGACTCTAATCTCTCTCACCCTCTCAACGATTCAATAATTTTCAAGTATTGATTTTGTAGGGATTTTGTTTGATTGAATGGAGGATTTCATCATGAGCTGACATCAATTTAAGAACCACTGGAAAACCTGGGAGTACTGGACAATTGTTCTAGTGGGAAGCCGTGATCAGTAGGGTACAGCAGGTTGAAGATGAGGCAGTAACACATCGAAGAAGACATTGGGAAACGGTCGCGGTGTGTCATGAATTGGCAGAAGTTAGAATTCATGCACTGTCTGGCCGTTGAATGGAGTCGCAGTGGCTGATGAAAGGTCTACGAGCCCGCTTGCCTTGTAACCCATAGGTCCTGGGTTCGAACCCCGCCCGGTGGGTGAGCACGACTGAACAGTCCCAAAGAAGGACTCCCGGGTTTTCCAGTGGTTCTCTAACTGATGTCAAATCATGATGAATTCCTCCATCGATTCAACAATTGAAGTCAAAATCACATTACAAAGGGATAAAGGGAGGGGAAGGAGAGAATAAGTAATTTTAAAAATCAGGTCTAAAGTTTAGGCCAATCGCCATCGAGTCTTCATTTTTGAAAGAAAAAATGTGGAGAAACTCCTTTGGAAAGTTGTTAAATCTCCTCTAAAATCTTCTAGTGACCCAAAACGGTCTGCTTATAAATGCAACAGAAACACTCTAAATGCCGCCGTTGTACTGTGGTGAGAGCGAGCTGCAAGCCGAAAATAGTAGACAACAAATTAACGTCAATGTTCACGTCCCGAATCAGAGTCATGAGAAGAAAAACAATGACAAAGCTTAACCTGAAGAAAATCACCAGCCAATCACAGCGGAGTTAAAGTGTGGAAATATGAGTCACTACAATTCATTAATTCATGTATTCTGCCCATTCTTCGCTATGACTCGGCCTTATTCTTCTCGGGACTTCTCAAAAAAGACTGTGTCATATTACATAGAACATTGAAGAATATAGGTAGGCAGAGTTAGTGGTGTGTGTATGCCTCTGACTTAACTAACTGACATTATATTCCTGTTGATAGGCCCTTCAACTCTTGCAAGCAGTTTCGCTAAAGTGGTCTTGTCTGAAACTGAACATGTGCTTAATTCTCAACTTTCTCCTTGTATCTCTTCGGGGGATAAAACTAGAAGAAACTTCATTAGAATTTATGCTCACACAACTACTAAATATAAAACTTCTACCACACCACCATATTTAGCACGGGTGGTTGTGTGTGAAGAGACAGTCAGATGTCAGAAAAGAACTTAGAGACCTTTTAAATCAGTAATCTGAACTTCAAAGTATAAGCAGAGCTTATTATTATTACATGTATTATTTATGGTATCGTCCACCTGTACTCCACCACGTTTCTGTCAACCTTCAGCTTTTTGTGCTTTCCTAACAAGTTTATGTATCTACATCGTTTATTATTTTTTTTATCCTTCACGTTCCCCAGTGGAACATAGGGCTTCAAGCTGTTGGCTTGAAGTTTCTGTAGCAGTGTTTATTTGACAAGATGAGGTCGCTAGCCTCATGCCCAACCTTTCCTCTTCACCAGCACAATTTCTGGCTTAGCGAAGTAAAGGAGTGCGCCGGCCGGGGATCGAACCCCGGATCATGTGCATGGTCGGCGAGCGTCCTAACCGCTATGCCACCGACGCACACATCGTTTATAAAAGAAGCTAAATTGTTGCAATATGTGTAAAAACACTGTAAATTCCATTCCGTATAATTACTATCGTTATTTGGAATGAGATGATTACTATTATATTATTATTTATTAAATAAATAAATAAATTCATTAATTAGATGACTGATCAATAATCAAGATGACACAGAAGGGTCAATTGGTGTGTGTGTGTGTGTGTGTACGTGCATGAGGAGGACTAACTGTGATCAATATT